CACCGTCACCGTCACCATCCCCTTCGCCTGACTGCACAGATTCGCCTTCACCGTCCCCTTCGCCCACCCCGGCACCTACACCTACATTTGGAGAAACAACAGGGTAATTCGTTTTTCAAATACAATCCGAGTAATATAATGATGGAACATCACACATAATCTGGGTGTTAGAGTAATAAATAAATACGTTTTCCTTTAACAATCGCATAAACATATTTTGAATTTATGGCTGTCAAGAAAAACCTTTTCCAAAAAGCAGGGACTGAAAATAGCAGTCAATTTTTTTTAACTGTTAAACTTGACTAGTTGGCAATCCGCTACAAAGATGTAATATTTCATTTATTTTATCAATTTAATAATGTAATAACATTCAAACAGGTGGCATCCCTCATCAAAAATATTTTTGGCAGTGAACTTTCCTAAACCTCTATAGTTTGATACCTATATTGCAATATTTAATATATCATATCAATTAAGTCAAATTAAAATTTCCTAACAGGTGGCAACTTTCCACAAGAATATCATCAACTGTCAGCGTTCTTAACCCCTAAGTACTGTTGTTGGTCTCTCAGACCACTTCAAAATTTTTAGATTAAAATAAAGATTTCGTTTACGCGCCAATAAACTTCTTGCTACGAATAGCTTTCACCGAGTCAGCAATGAGTTAATTCCGGTAGCGTGCAAACATGTGCGGTGAGAAGTGAGGTAGTAATTGCATTTTAATTACTTGCGCGTGGTCTATCAGACCACCAGCTATTTTTCGAATATAAGCATTGACGTAACTATTTTTCGATTGTTTATTAATATCTCCTACCTATCAAAACATATCTGTCAGTGAATTTGGCAGGAATTTTTAATAATTTCTGTAACTTCAAAAATAAATTATTGTAAATTTTTTTATTTTTTTTTTTATTTTACAATATATCGATGGCTGAGTGGAAGATCGACCTATCTTGGCAGCCAGTTCGAAAACGCTTTATCTCATAAAACTCTTCAAGAACGCCCTACTTCAGAATTTGATTGCAAAACATCCTATCTCAAAATTGTATTGATGAACATCATATCTCAGCTGCCGATTCAAAAACGCCTTATTTCAGCTTATTTTCAACGTATTTTCGTTTGAGATAGAGCTTTTTTGAACTTATGAAATCTCAAGTTTAGCAAAATTCGCAAACAAGAATAATAGTACATAATATAAAATTTTGGCGCTTACATATTTGCTAAGTGTTTATCCGAGCTTCTCCTCCAATTTGTGGTATACGTTTTGATGTTTTTATACAAAGGAGGGACTTACAGTTTTATGCCGCCTCCGAATGGCAAATAAATTTTTATGAGAAGCTTTTTCATGACAGAACACACAGAGATTTGCTATTGCCTGCCGAGGGGCTACCCGTGTTAGCAACAATTTTTTTTTACCGACTTCCAAAAAAGGAGGAGGTTATCAGTTCGTCGGAATGTTTTTTTTTTTTTTTTTTTTTTTTTATGTATGTTACCGCATAACTTTGGACCACGTCAACCGATTTCGATAATTCTTTTTGCATCGGAAAGGTAGTGTCCCATACTAATCGATCAGCGGATCATGAGATATATATATATTTTATATGAGAGTTGAAGTCGGTTTTTTTTTTGCTAAAAATTACTTGTTTTATTTAGATTTTGCCCCGACCAGGCATCGAAGCCAGGACCACAGCGGCTGCAAACAAGAACCGATCTGAAAAAAACGAAGCGTACAATTTGAATCAGCATTCTGTAACCATTTAGCGGCAAATTTCGGATCGATATCGCAACGTTGCGATCAGTTTTACAATTTTTCTATTCTATAAAATTTTTTCTACGATTTCTATCGCAAAGCTTGAAATTTTCTTTTCGATAATTGTTGATAGGCTAACGATGAAAAAAATTCGGTCGTTAAGCTTTGCGACAAAGATTTGTTTGACTGGCTGACCAGAATGATGAGGTATGTAGCTGTCACAAGTTAAAATATTCTAAGTAAATGCTCTAAACCAGAGATGGGCAAAGTGGCTCCCAGGAGGCCTTTGCACTTAGGAGCCGGCTTAGCACATTTAGGTGCTAGATGAGGGGTAACATCAAGAGCCAGCATGAAGGGGGAGGAAGAGTGTATTAACATTTTTTATACTCCGTCTTTCATTAATAATATATATATGTAATGCTTTTTAAGGTATTTTTTACACCGCCTTTGCCCTGAGAACTGATTTACATCTTGCATAGCACTTGCTGGCTCTTTGGCTGCTTTAAGAGCCAGAAATCTGCCCATCTGCGGCTCTAAACTGCCCACAAAATGTAGCTGTGGTTGTGGTGTATTATTGCTGATGTAGCTAGCGAAATAGCTTGTGGCTGTGATACCTACATTCTGGTTAGCCAGTTAGAGTTTTTTTCATAACAAATGCTTGCTTACATACATATGTATGTACATATAAAATCGTTGATCGACAAATTAATACTACACGAAGAAGACAAGTAGCGCCAAGCGTCACCGTTTTGCACGTTTTGCGGACAATAATATTTCTTGCATGGTCATTTGCACAAACTAGTTATTTGGGCAAATATCTTTGCTGTTCTTTGACTGAGCCAAGGACACTTTTACGCCTTCTAGTTGCTGACTAAAGTGATGCTATTTCCAGAAGCCGCAAGTGGTCACTAAAACAGCACATTCACGCCCTACACCTAAAGTACCGTGAAGAGCAGAGAAAAACCAGACTTACCGCACTCAAATGGAAAAATTCTGTCATCCAAATCAGCGACTGCGATAAGACCTGTTTTAAAACCACATCTTCGGTATGAATAACAAGCATGCAACTAAAGGCTATTCATAAACGAGCAGAAAAATAGTATACCGACAAATCGATATCGCCAAAAAAAAAAACAAATAAAGATAAATGGTGGTCATACCCAAAGCGAAAATGAACTATAAGAACTCAACCAATTACCAACCACGATAGGCCATCGCTCAGCATACATATAAAGCGCATGTGATGCGCCACATAACACCCTCAAATAAACACAAGCTGTAGCCAATGGCATCCAAATCGAGGCTACGCAGAATACACTGAGGGAAATAATGCGTAGGAGGAGGCAAATTTCGTTCAATAATAAGTGAGTAAGTTTCCACAGAGCATAACGCAATATTTTGACATAATACGTAGATTTGCGTTATTGTTTGAAAAACAGGTGATTGCGTTGTTGCTGTAATGTTGTAGCACTGTCGATTTTTATTTACACACGTGAAGTGGTTGTAAAACATTTAAGAAAGTTTTGATAATATTTTCTGTGGATAAATTTAATTAATCTGAAGGCTTGCTCAAATACTACTGAAAATATTTGTTCAGTTTGATATTTTGTTTAGATACAAATTCATTGTTTTACATAAGCGTCTAGCGCGTGCTAATGTTTTCAAAGGCTAAATTCTATGAAGGTTTTAAGTAGGGGTTTATCCCACTTATGCTGTAGCTCATGGTTTCTTGTAAACTTGCTTACTGTGGAAAATGCCAATGTACAATGTTTGGTATAATAAAACAGCAGCAAAAAAAATCGAATAGAAAGACTAAAAAGTAGATAGAATAATTTTTCCTAGTCCCGTAGAATTTTTATGTGGGTACATGATCCAATTCAGAATTTTTACAAATTCACTAAATCGATGATCAGATGAACGCATGTCCGACGACAGGAATTTACCCCGCCATACGAGCCAATTATCGCAGGATCAGCTTTCTAAGCATCGAGCGTATTGTGTGCAAGACTGGAGCCAATCGTCAACAAAGTAATTAGACCTTATCATTGTGACTTTAGATTTGGCAAATCCGCCATAGATCAGGTATTCACAATACGTCAAATCTTGGAAAAGACCCACGAGAAAAGGATCGGCACTCACCACCTTGGTGTCGACTTCAAAGCCGCTTTTGACAGCACGAAAAGAGGTCATCTTTATGCCGCGATGTCTGAATACGGCTATGTAAAACTACATTAAGCAATACCACCTGCTCCGTTAGAATTGGGAAGGAACTCTCCGAGCCGTTTGATACCAAACGAGATTTCAGAGTGCAAGACGTCAATAAAGAAGAGAGAGTTTAAATAAAATTTAATAAACATTAAATAAACAAAGGAAAAATAGTAAAATCTCCTCAATATGTGGTGTCCAAATTTTTTTGTTTTGACTGCAAATATGTGCTAGCAAAAAACCGATCCGAAAAAGGGGGAAGAAATGGATGAAATGCGGATTTTTTCAGTTTACCGATTAGACGGAGGTTGGACCCACATATCCGCACTCGGACTGCTGTCGGAAGTCGAGTACAAACTATCTCTCGTTTGTGTTGCCAAAGATCCGCTTTTAGCGCTGCATGTAATGGAGTAGAAGACGTAGTTAATAACTCCATTATATTCCTACAGCGTAGGCAGATATACATCATAGTGTTCGGTGGAAACAAAGTCACCTTTTGAAGGATGCAATTCTTAAGCGCGGTTCCTGAAACTTGGAACACGCATTTCCTTCTATCCTCCTTAAGCAAACCGATGAAGATTTTTGAGATCACAAAAACATTCTCAGAAATATACAAGAAAAGATAAACTTTATGAACACATTCGCCGTATAAACGACGCAGATCGATTTCAGACCTCGTTAGTGGTTTTTATATATACCTTTATTTAAACAAAATTTTATTTAAAAAAAAAACATCTACTGAATATGTACCTACTAGTAGCTTATTTAACAAAAGTTTCTCGAGGTAATATATTTGAGAAGTTTATCGGCTATGCTTATATGTAGTGGGGGACATCTGCATAAATTAAATTTATCTATAATGATGATATGCACATTAGTGTACGCCGAAATTTTTTTTTATTAGGCTACGAAACACAACACAGATTTTGATTTTTTTCTAATTGGGAGATATCAGAATAGTGTGCGTACCACCTTACATGCAATAAAAAAAAAATTTGCCATACGCCCAGAATCTAAAATATTTTCGCAAGGCAATTTCGAAAAATTTTCATTTTTTGGCCGAACTAAGGCCTACATTCCGCAATACAAAATTTTATTTAAAATATGTATTACTGAAATAATCAAAATACTTCCAAAGCAAAAGTTAAACGTTTTATGATTTTTGGCGGACTTAATTGCTTGACGTTTGAGTTATAAGAACTGCCAACACAAAAAAAAAATCGAATATGCCTTCGAATCGAAATACTTCCTGAGGAAAAATTTTGTGATTTTTGGCGAGCTTTTATTTATTGGCATTAGGGTGGTAGGAACTGAGAGCTGGTGCGTAAGTACTGTACGTTCGGCATAAAAAAAAACACATCAAGATTGCCTTACAAAAATACCTTAATATTGTTATTGAATTTAGGAAAAATGGTAAAAACAACAAAATCTAAGCGGTAAAAGTTATAATTGCTATTTCTGAGATCATTACATCTCCTCATCAGACTCCTTCATCTACATAGACTTTAGCAAGGATCGAATCCGCATCATCGATGCGCAAATTTTATCAACTTTCTGCAAAACACGACGAACTTTTGTAGGAGAAGTCTCGCCTGGTACGGCGAAGTTTAAAAAATAAGGTGCACACTAATAGTGTGCGAGCATATGCACATTTGCAAAAACAAATTTGCATAACTGACACATTTACAAATTAATTTTCCCTAATTGCTTCACAAAGTATAAAAGACTGAATTTAGGAGTAAATTCAGAAAGTTAGCAATTCTCATTACCAGATCGTATCGAACCAACGCGGAAATGAGACGAAACGTATTAATTTTATTATTTTTTGTGTATTGCTCCAATTTTAGATTCACAGGAGCAATAATACCGAAAGTTTGCCTCAATAACTCGACTTGTTTGCTTGGAAAATTTATGCTCGGCTATCAAACCAGTCTATTTGAAGCCTTTTTAGGCATACCATATGCCAAACCGCCCCTTGGTGATTTGCGATTTAGTGTAAGTGAAAGTTGGAATACAAATTTAAAAAGTTTTAATATTTGCACATTTTTCGTTTTTAGAATCCAGTAGAAGCAGAACTTCGGAACGGCACAATTTTAACGAAAATTCCGAAACCAAATTGCATACAAAAAAATTATGTCCAGACTGCGGCACCAATTACCGGCTCAGAGGATTGCCTCTACTTGAATGTTTACCGTCCCAAGGTGCGAGTGATAAAAATAAATTAATAACTTAAAAATAAGTTTAGATTTTTGCAACGCTTTTATCTCTTTAAGTGAATATGCTTAATAGCAAATAGCTTTGTTTTTTTTTTGGTTATGTCATAGAACTACACTTCTAAAAATTTGCCAGTTTTGTTCTACATTCACGGTGGTGGATTTTTCAGTGGATCGGCAAGTCCTTTCGTCGAAGGGCCGGAATACTTTATGGATACAAACGAAGTTATATTGGTTGTGCCAGCTTATCGTTTGGGCCCATTTGGTAAGTGTTACACCAACTATGTAGTTATAAAAATAATTACAAACAAAAAGTAAACTTACGCAAACAATATGTATTTCAGGATTCCTCAGTACGAACGATGAAGAAATGCCGGGAAATTTCGGTCTAAAGGACCAGAATTTAGCACTTAAATGGGTTAACACACATATTTCCGCTTTCGGTGGAAATTCCTCACGTGTAACTATTTTCGGCCATAGTGCTGGTGCTGCATCTGCACATTTCCATATGGTGAGCCCTGCCTCAAAAGGTATTTCGGCTTTTTACTAGGCAAATAAAACACATACAATTTTCCATATTTATGTATACCTAATCTCTCTACACACATTGCAGGTTTATTCCAAGGCGCCATTTTGATTAGTGGTGACGCAAACGCACCATATGCCAAGCCCGTGCCGGATCCGAAAACTCAAGCCATTGAATTGGCGCACTTTGCCGGTGTCAAAGGGGCTGCTGGCCTAAACACTACTGAGCTGGTTAAGGCGTTACGAAAAATAAATAAAGTTACATTACTCTCAGCTATCGATAAGTTGAAAATTAGCAATTCCTATCCATTAGTAACTTTCCGTCCCAACACCGAAGACTCAAATTGGCCGAATGCATTTTTAACAGAAGAAGCATTTGCCACTCTTTCCGGCGATTTTAATTCCATAACCGTTCCAACGATTATAGGTAATGTACCTGCAAAGGGTGAAGGTATGGTCCTAGCACTTCGTCTGGCAAGTAATCAACAATTGCGAAATAAATTCAATAGCAATTTTAAACCGTTGTTGAGTGCAATATTGGACATACCAGAGGTAGAGGCTTCAGACGCAGTACTCGAAAAGTTAGTCTCAGTGTATATGCAAGGGACATATTATTTGAATGACTATACATTGAATGGATTTTTGGAGGTTTGCATACAAGAAAATAAAAAACAATCCAAAAGAGTCTCCAATTTTTTCAAACAATCATTTATTTTCCTTAGCTTTTAGGTGATGCGAATTTTATTTATCCTGCCTACAGAACCATTAAATCTAGTTTCAATAGTGGGAACTCATGTACAGACACAGCAACTACTGAATCTGCAACCGCGACGACGGATATTTCCACTTCCCAAACTTCGAGTGCAACCGCGACGACGGATATTTCAACTTCCCAAACTTCGAGTGCAACCGCGACGACGGATATTTCTACTTCCCAAACTTCGAGTGCAACCGCGACGACGGATATTTCAACTTCCCAAACATCGAGTGACGCAGCCGATATTTGTCCAGTAAATGCTTTTTACGCTGATGCTGTCATTGGGCCTGATGAGTTAGATTCAGATATCTCACGTGAGTCGGCGGTTAATTTGTCGTCAGACAATACGCAGGATTCATCTTCAGATGCCACGGCTGAGTGTTTATCAAATGTGATTGGAATTATAAAATTCGATTACAGTGGCCCATATTCATTTTCTAAAATATATACTGGCAGCTATAAAAACTTTAGTACTGCTCACGGCGATGATTCACTATTCCTGTTCAGGGCATCGCAAACCTTCCCTTCGGGTTATGCGAAAACATCTCCAGAGGCAGCTTTGGTTAAACGCTATGTGGATCTTTACGTGGAATTTGCCAAAACTGGGTTAGCCAATTTGTGGAAAGTGCGAGTTGAAAGTAGATATTAATTTTGGAATTTTTTCTCCAGGAAAGTTACGCAATTTGAGGAAATGGACACTTGCACAAAGGCATCCTTGGAGGATGGTCAATGCCAGTATTTGTCAATTGTGAAGGATGTCGAACCATTCCGGATTGATAGTGCATGGAATATCGATCGACTGCAAATGTGGGATGAAATATACAACTAAGATGGTACAAGTGCATACCTAAAGTGCCTTACAAAGTTAAAGTATGCGGAACTATAATTTGGTAATCGGATATTTTAACCCTTAACTGGTATCCTGAATTTGACGTATGTATGTACGTAAAAAACAAAACATGATATGGAGTTCGCACAGCCCCTACGATATCAGTTAATTGTTAGATATAAATGCATTTCGGTTTATTATACAAAATATTAAAAATTATTCTCAATGACAGCAATGAATTGACCTTTTTAATGCAAGATTTTTTATCAATATCAATATAATTTATACAAGGAAAGAAATAAGTTTTGTCAATATCGGCCTTAATGGTTATTCTTTCTCAATAAGTTAAATTTATTTATGTATTTTGAAAAATCCTTAAAACCTTCAGGCACAGTCGAACGAGTGGGCCTGAGAGCCAGAAACGGTTTTATTCACGCTCTTGTATTCACAGCTGAATCTCGCAGCAAGGCAAATTAATTGATTTTTAATCTTTTTTTGACAATGCGAAGACAGATGCCACTACATAATTGCATAATCGGAAGTTGTTGGAAATTCTAAAACTGGTAGCCATCCAGGTAGCAAGCCTGATCGGAAAAGCTTTAATAAATCTCTTTCGATTGACACTCATATTTTAATATTTCATAAAACTCCTGTATATGTGTTCTAAATTCTATTTTTCAAACAGTTGTAAGTCCTTTTCAAAAACATTTTCAAATCAAAATCTTCTTAAATCTCTTTCGTTTGTTAAATCTGATTTTTAAACACGTGGCAATCCTCCTTAACACAGGTCAGAAATAAAGCCTTTTCAAACCCATTTTTATTGATACCAATCTTCTAATAATTCATTTAACTTATTAAATAATTTGAATTTAACTTTTTAAAAACATGCCAACCATCTTGAAACGTAAATACTCTAAATGTCCAAACTAAACATTTCTTAACACTCCTTCGTTTGATACAGATCCTTACTTCCTTACTAATATTATAAATCCGAAAGTGAGTTTGTTTATTTGTTACGCTTTCACGCCGTAACTACTCAACCGATTCCCATTAAATTGTGTACACTGTTGCCATTTATCCCAACTTAAAATATAGGATAGATTTAATCACGGTTATACGAGTAGGCGTGGCACCTCACATAAAACTGAATTTTCATACCGCGTATCATATCTCAAAAAATATTTTTGATAGAATACAGGAACTTGGTATAGATACATATATGTATATAAAATCGATTCCATACTCGTGGAGGAGGGCTGCCACCTGTTTACAAAATCAAATTTGACTTGAATTAAGTTAATAATTTATTTGAAAATTATATTAAAGAATGGATGACAAGAGGCATAAAAAAGATGTAGTTCGAAAGTATTTTTGAAACGGTTGCCACCTATTCGAAAAACAAAATTTAAATTAATTATTAGCAAGCTATCTGAAAAATTTATATATGGGTCTCAAATGAAAGATTGCTAAGAAACCTTTACATTGAACATTTGAAAAATTTCTGAGGTGTTTTACAAGCGCTGCCACCCGTTTAAAAATTAAATTCATTTAATTTAAATGAATTACTACAATATGGGTATCAATCGAAAAGTGTTTGATAGGGGCTTTAGTTCTAAACTACATAGGGTTGCCATCTGTTTTAAAAATAAATTTCTTCTTCAATTAAAGGAATTTGATAATTGGAATATGTATGACAATATGGACGTCAGACAAAAGGGATTTGATAGGGTTTTAATAGGAAAATATTTCGAAAAGGTTACGTCCTGTTTTAAAAGTCGAGTTTAAATTAGAAATGTTCAGCTTGAATATGTAGAGTTCTCTGAGGTTTTTGAAGAGGGTTGCCATCTGTTTGAAATCTAAATTCGAATACAATTATATTATAAGTTTAATGAGTTATTAAAATCTATGTTTTAATCGGAAGAGTCGTGAAAAGGCTTTATTTCTAACCAACATATGTATAGCAGGGACTCCAAATGTTTGAAAATTCAAATTCAACTTGAATTATAGGAATTAACGGTTTAAAATATAAAATTCAAAATTTTCAATCATTTCAATGAATTATTACAATATGGGAATCAATCTAAATGATTTTTAAATGGCCTTATTTCTAAACTATATGTATGAAAAAGTATCACAAGAGAGAGATTTAAGATAGTTTTAGTTTGAAAATATTTTGAAGATATTTAAAACAATTAAAGTCTCCGGATTTTCGCATATTTTAAGTATGTTGAATTTAATTAAAATAAATTACACCTAATGTAGCACGTGGAAGTTGCATAAACTCATACCATATTTAAATTTTATGCGACTTATGGTTCCGAGGTTTTTGCTGATTAAAAATTCGTAGGCCTTTAGGAGGTGTCAGATGCCCCCTCGCAAAAGTGACACCATATTTGCAAACAAAACCATACCTGCAACCTTCCCGGGGTAAATGCAAATAAGTGTGCAAAGTTTCGTGCTACGTGCCGTAGTTAAAAAGTTATAAGGTAATAAGCAAACAGACATTCACATTTATATATTTAGAATAAGAAGAAGATAGATTTGTTAATGAACTCTAAATTGAAAAATCTTAAAAATTAATAAATAAATATAAGTGGCAAACAACATCACTTTGAATTTTGTCCGAAATGAAAGATATGCCCAACGCTGTCGGTATGTATGTATAAAAATGAATAATCAATGACTTTAAAGAATTGAATTCTTGTAAAAATTACATAACATTGCTTTATCGATTTTTTTTTTATAAAGTTTTTGTTTATGTGTTTCAATAATGCTACGATTTTGATTTTAAACTACGTATAATTCAATAAATGTTCATGTTTTATTCCAGGATTTATTTATGTTAGTCAACAGGAAGATGTAACTACATAAATAATTATGTTCGCTTAAGTACCCGCATCGAGGTACTTAAGCAGGTTCTTTTAAGTATCCAACCTAACCCTAAGTACCTCAAAAAGGTGACATTTTTCGTGAGGTACTTAAGTGGGTTTTACTGTAAGTTTTGTTGCAGGTGAATTTCGTGTTTTTTTTTTGTTTGTAGTACCATGTCATCGTATCGTCCGTATATTTGAACTCTAAAGCTGCTATGTAAAAAGAACAACAACAACTAAACGTTAAGGATGAGCTCGTAAGGAAAGACAGACTATGTACAAAAACAAAGCAGGCAAAAATAACAGATTTCTACTTGCCCGTAAAGACAAGTCATAAAAATTAATCTACATGTTGGTAATCACAAAACTAAGAAGGTGCACCTGTCGTACCGAAGGAGTACGTAGCTAAGAAAATGATATAGTACTATAATAATATAACCAGGACACAGGAATGAACCAGAATGGAAAATTACACTGAAGATGGCTCAACGTCGAAACCGGTGTGTCTCGAAACAAAATTTGACAAACAAACAAGAACAACGAAAAACAAATAAAGTAAGAAAAATCCATTTACTAAATATTTTTCAACTAATTTGATCGCATTTTAAAACTAATCAATGCGAGTTAGCATAAAGTATGCAAGCACTTGTCAAATCGATGTCGATGTTGATGCCAAGGAATCTCTTCATTTTAAAAAACGTGCTTACAATAAGTGAAGAGATGTGCAATATTCACACTCACATACTATTTACATACATACATTTCGATATGTAGGTGCAACGCGTGCGTGAAAAGACCATTGAACGCATCAGGCGCAGTCGAGTTATCTGTAAAGCAGAAATACAAAAAAAATTACTATGCGAATGCTTCAATTGCCAAATCGATTAACTCCATTAACAAAATATTGAGAGTTGCAATCAAAAAATGTACAACATATATCTCTCTTTAATTCTGTTTAATAATATACATTCAAATCAAGAATGTTATTATAAATATTATATATTATATAAAGTTGTTATAAATATAATAGTTTTCACTATACCAATTGCTTGGATACTTAAATTTAAGATTTTTCAGAAAGTGGAGTTAATCGATTTGGCATTTGAGGCATTCGTGTATAGGTTAAATGTAAATGAAGAAACGGTTCACCAACCAGATGGTAATCAGAAAAAAGGGAAACAAAAAATGGTTTACTTGCTGGGAGGTACAGCTTTACATACATACGTATGTACATCTGCATGCTACTTCCCAGCAAAAAATCGGTAATAATAATTTTTTTCAGTTATTTTAGGCATTGCATAGTAGATGACCGCTGATTACTGGCTCTTGCAAAGGTTTGATCAATGCTTCGAGAAGCAAATAAATTTAGTAAGAAGGAAAGTTGCAAAAAATTTTATTTTTTTCAACTAAATTTTTTAATTTTTTATTTTTTATCACACATGGAACGCTTTGATTTTGAAGAAAACAACAACATACACGCAAATGCTGTTTTTGCTCTACTTACTACTTGTATGATATCGTCACTACACACGAATAAAGGCGCGCTAGTGTTTTGACGGCAAAAAAAGGCGTTTAAAAAAATTTAGCGAAAAAAGATGCTTATAAAAAACTTTGGCGAAGTATGTTAAGAGTCTTTTACGCTCAAATTTTTTTATGCGTCTTTTTTCGCCGTTAACTTTTGAGCTCGCGCCTTTATTCGTGTCTAGTGACGATATGCCTTATAGTATGTATCGATTTTTAAGTGAGACCTAAATACATTCATATGTATGTATGCATGGTAGAAAAAAGAAGACAAATGGCGGATTCAATATGGCTACCAAATTTTATAACAAATTCTAAAATTAAAACGTTGGTACCGAACGTTTTAAGCATTGTAATGGGTTTAAACTCGTTACCAGTACCGGTGTTAAAGCTAGTTTTGTTACAAAAAAAAAAATCAAATTGATAATGAAAAAAAAACCGATGGAAAAATTAGCAGGAATTAATGTTACTCATACGCCATGTACACCCGAAATTGTCGAAAACTTATTCATAGAATAAAAATTTAACTCAATTTTCGGAATCAGCGAGCAATTCTACATATATAGGAATTGGATATGTAGTGGCGTCCGTTGAATATTTTTCCTGTAAACCAGTTTTATTTTTCAGTTTTTGTCTGTTTTAGTGCCATCTTTTGCCTGTTTTGATATTTCTAGTGCCTTTTCCAGCCTATTTCGTTATTTTATTTTGCCTTTTTTATAGGTTTTTAAGTCCTAAAAATCCGTTCCCCGCTGATTACGAATCTGATGTCATATTTTAAAAATTCATATTGGCAGCTCCGAGTTTAAAACAAATCCAATATTTTTTATTTTTTTCAAGTTGATTGCCATATAGGATTTTACTCAGATCCTTCAGTATCAACGTTTTAATTTATTAGTCTCT